GGCGCCGGCACATAGACAGGAGGACGATTAGGGTCCTCAACCAAAGCCTTTGGCTCAAAAGCCTAACCGCAAGGCAGTGGTGTTTGGGGGAAATGCAGTCACACCACGGTAAGGCCCAGTCTCTTCGCGACACTATGAGTAGTGTGTCCCGCCTACGGTACATCAAACTTTCTTGAAAATAAGTATCACAACGGTGCAGTCGGGGTATTGAAGAATATTCATCAACCTTGGAGTCGTCTCCTACCCAATAAGCTGATCCCTCTTGGAATGGAGACCCTTGGACGAAACAAGCCAATGGTAACGGATGGCAGCCGCGCACCGAGTTTTAATGGCTCGGTTTTCGAGCGACAAATCCTCAGGGGAAGGCCCATTTTTTCCTTTGTGAACAGGTTTCTCAAATACCGTTATAAAGACTGGGTGACATGGGTGATGAACGATTGAAACTCTTGTTCGAACAGTTGTTGTTTTAGATCTCCCTCGTGTTCCTCACTTAAACGTCACAAGTGAAACCGACAGCTGAAACTTTGAAATCTCTTCGCTATTTTCATCCACCCTTATCACTGACAACAATGCATTGGTATTACGTACTCACGCTTAACTGACATAAGCACTTTTATTACTGCCTAGAAAACAATTGTTCGAAAGCCGATCTAAATGCCAGGTTACATCCACACATTTCCGAGTGACAGCCACTGAAGAAGGTATTCTGTCGTGCACTTTTAATTCCAGTTTCGCGAGTAGCTATCGATCAGAGGGGACCAAAACCAAAGCCTATTTGTGTACCTTGCTCGTCCAAACCTGACCAGTTTGCGGACAGTTCAATTTTGTGATTGACATTCAACATCGAACCAGAATGAAATGCGGCATTCAATAAATCCGTGAAAGATTGTTTAAATAGAACTGCCACACAGGCATCTCGCGCTTTTGTTTCCCTCCTTGACAGTGATGGATAGTGGATTTCAATGTCTTTTCTCCTAAATTCATAGCATTCGAAGCGGTACACGTATGCATCACGTAGGACACGGCATAAACAATCCACAAATGTTGGTCCATTGCAGACAAGAGTTATGATTTGCGACAGTTCTTCGACACTGAGTGTTTTATTCCTATCCCCTTCTTTGCATAACAAATTCCAAGTGAGAAGATTTGTCATATGCAAATAGCCGATTTCAACTGACCAATAAAAAACCTTGAAGCGATTAAGGTGAGGAGTCTAGTGATTAGATTCTTTTTTGATCAACTCGCAAACTAGAAAATATCTGTTTTTTTCAACACACTGTCGCATAATGATGTTGGCTTCATTCAAACATGTGACTTTTTCCACAAGAATGACAAACTTTTAATTGCCGGTGACTGACTTCGCGCCAACCATTGTGGGCGGTAACTCAAATTGAAATGAGTTGGAAAAATGCCTGTCGTTCCCTCAAGGAAAGCAACTGTTTGTACTCAGCTCAGTGATATAAAGAGAAGCGTCCCGATCAAGGTTGTTGAATAAATCTTCTTGGCCATGGTTTTAAATCAGTACTTACAGAGGCATGCTATGAAACCAGATAGTTCGCACTTCTGCACCAGGTTTCTAAATCTTATGGTTCGATCATTGCGTATATGGTATGAGAAGCCGATAAGATAACTAGGCGATAAAGCGGTTGATCAAAGCAACTGTGCAATGGCCTTGGGGTAAAACACACCCCGGATAATCTAGCTGGGTGTTTGACTGGAATTCTGTGTGGCTGCTCTGGATCGACTGCTGCTGATGCTAAGCAGGATGTGTCGCTGACAGGGGGTCGAGGTTGATCTGGAACGCATCACAGAATTGGGCCATTCAGTGTTCGAATTCTGTGAAATAAAGTGGCGAGCTAACAGCACTATCTTTAAGGCGGTATGATGAAAAGTAGTCGTTAGTTAGGTTTCAGCATACAATGTCACTGGTGGATAATTTCGGAACTCGAGGAATACCAGACTTCACAGTTCTGATTAGCCTCAGTACGACAGTCATCAATTAGGATCGGGAAAACTCCCCACGGTACTCTCTCTCTCTCAGACCGCATCAGGAGGCAATTGGTTACATGCAGGCCGACCAGAGAAACGATCAATCTCCTCTAGTTAGCAAAAGGAAGGCGTACGTGAAGCTCATATCCTCGTAATACCATGAACAGGAAAGGAAACTGCAAGGGTCGAGATTCCGGAGCCATTTTCCAGAATGGGTAACATTTCAATGGAAAACAAAGTCCTTAAATTTTTGCGGCTGTAGTTTTGTGTAATCTTGTATGACGCCAGCACTTCACGCCTAAGTTATCATAGTGTAATGCACTCGATATGAGCTTCTGTTATTATTTACCACAGACACACGGCTTGAGGAGTGACATTCTGGAAGTTGGCTTTCGTAAGTCTTACTTCGCTGCACTACAATTTTCTTGAAATGGATGGCCTCTACAATACAACAGCATCTGTGGTGGTTGTTGATCTGTTCACCGAGCTTGGCAATTGGGTTGCGAACGTTTTCATCACCAGTCGAGGCGACATCGTCAGTGCAGGGTTGAGTGGATCGGCGAACAGACCAACAACCAAGCAGCGCACCGGAGTGTACCTACATTCCATATCAATGGTGTTAGGCCCGTCACATTCGCCATGGTGAAAGGCCCGCATCTTTTGACCGTTTGCCTGATAGTGTTTGATAGATTAGCATGCCATAGCACAGTATCTTATTGCAACGGCTACAAATAGTAAAATTCTGCATATCATGGTGGTAGAGGATAGTATAGCACAGTACATTATAGTACATAGCATGTATATTATAGCACAGTACAGTATAGCATAATATAGTACTGTGCATTTGTTGTGCGGCACAAGTGTAGTGGGATAATGATGGACAGTAGGTAACATCCTTTGGTTTATAACAACTAAGCTTCCAGAGGAAAAAGAAGATTACCTGATATTCCGCTCTGTTTTATTTTTCAGGTACGCAATTGATTTATAATCCTGGGTCAGGCCTGTTGCTCAGTCCGAGTCTCGTTCCCCCCAACATGACTTCTAATTCAATTAGGCCGACTGCAGAAAGTCAGCCCATGTATCCGCCACCATCCGATTTACTTTCACTCGTTCGCCAAGGCATTCCGACGAGGTCAACAACGGCCCAACCTCAGAATATTGTCGATACCAGCCCAACTCAGCCAAACAACAGTACAGATGGGCTAAATGACGCATATGCCGTAGATTCCACCCAATTTTCCTTATTCTTCAACTCCTCTTCCATGGTGGCATCGGTGGAGCCTAGCCAGAACGCATCCAATGTTATGACAACACGTCTACGTCAGCCGGTTGAGGGACAGCATGAGCAGCTGCTCCCAACAACATCCGTTCTACTCAACGGTAGTTGTACAGCTGGTTTATTACCTCAACCCAATCAGGCCTATACGATCACTGAACCAGCTCTTCCACAACACAACCAGCAATCAGCTCCAACGTCCATTGTACAGCATTCATTGTTAACCGCTGCCCTTCTCCAAGAACAGCACCAGCAGCAACAGCATAGTCAACTCTATCCGGTGTCAGTGCACTCCTCGCCGCCCACATTATTGCCACAACACGAACTCACAGTAAGTTCCCGGATAAGTCGTGTTTGAACACTTATGGTTTGGTAACTTCATCATTTCTAGCAAAGTCAGTGGTATGTCGTTTCTCATGTGCTAGGACAAATCAGCATGTTGTCAGCATCCATTTGCGAGTAAACCTCTTTGAGCTTATTGATCGCTTCCTACTGATTTCAATTCCTCTTTAAAATATTAAAGCGGAATGTCAGAGCACCATGCTAAATGTGCTGGAAGGTTTTACATAAGAGCGAGCAGCAGCCTGATTATTTTGCGAAATTCACACATTTGTACACTGATTTATCTTTAATGGGAATCTCAGACGAATCCGGTTGAACACATCGTTTATAACGTTCGTCTTAACTGAATGTGTTACACAAGGCCACCTCATGTATCACTTGGCGCGGTAGTTGAGACATCACAGTGTATTTTCCCAGTGGAACACAAGGCAAATAGGGTTACTTGAATCCCTGACAGTCGGTGAGCGGTTTCTCCCTCCTTATGGCTCATCTAGTGAGTGCAGTCACTGAGTTTCCGTCAAAATAAGGTTTCACTTGAACTGAAATTGTTCGCGGTTTTCAAATTGCACTAATTTAAATACTAATATGTTTTTCGACGTTTGTGGTATTCCCCTTCAAACGGATGTGTTGAAGCATTATCCGAGACGTCGCAGTATATTTTCATGATGGAACGAACATGGTTGATGGAAACTCGGTGACTGCACCCACCTACTGAGCACTGAAGAGGACGAGACCGGTCTTGGACGGTCGAAGACCGTCAGGCCCCATTCTTTGCTTGCGCACCGTAGTTCAGCACTTTATCGGTGTTGCAGTTTCACATCTACACGGTAAACCGACCTAATTGTGACGACCGATTAGGAATGTGCATATCCTCCCTTTTCCTTCACACAAAAAAGTCGAACAAACCCCTTTGTAATTGAGAGGAGGCACCTGTCCCATCACCGCTTGGGAACTTCAAACAAATATCATTATGTTATGAAATTTGTGAAGATACCCAGTGCTTCGACGAGAAGGTGTACCTCATTTCACTGAATAGGTGTATATCCTCGTCAAAAACTTAGCCGTTTTCCAACACACTGTGTTACTGTTTCAGAGGCCTTATCAGCGACACCGTACTGTCATGACTTTGAGATTATTTTCATGTTCCCGTGTTGCCCCAGTTATCGGGGACACTAAATTTTCTACTGATTACCTTACAAGTAAAAAACACTGTGGAGGCACCACAACAACGACAACCTTCCTAAAATGTCGTGGCTTGACATGCATATCACAGGGTGATGAGCAGGTTAACTCACCTCGTGAGAAAACAGAAGTCTACCATCGAAATTCGTACAGCGTCTGGTTCACGAACGTTTGTGTTTTCGGGTTATCTTCATGTCAGGCATATCTACGGAGCATGTGGTGTTTCGAAGTTTCTGGGAAGTTATGAGCAACATAAATATATCCATTATTATTATTATTATTATTATTATTATTATTATTATTACCATTATTATTATTAATTGACCAGTTAGCTACGCGTGTCAACGAAAGGTTTTTGAAAGTCACCACTCGGTTGACATCAAATATCGCTGATTATTCGCGGAACCGAAGTGGCGAGTAAAACTGGTTTGAAAATTTTTTGTTTGCTAACCGTTACCACTCGATTTGAGTGATATCATTGGCAGTTAGGTTCGAACCATCGTAGCACGGATGAGAACTACGTTTTCTCAGTGGAGTTTCGAATATTCCGTAAAGCTTCCCCATTCGGACACAAATTACACATTTCAGTAAGCTTTCTGAGTTAGATTTCAAATAGAATAGTTGATGACGTCTATGCTTAGAAGAAAATATGGAAAAGAGGACATGTTTTTTTCTAATTACTTCATCTACTGGAATCAAACTGAGACATGGGGTTGTCCGATGTCAAACATTTTTTTCGGTATTGCGCTTTCATTCGTCAGAATCCATGTAGTCAGACATAAAGCACTCACTGTCAACGAAGGCTAACTGAATAAAAATATTCTACGTGCTATTTTAAGCAATTATTAGAAACATAATTCTATCTGATCACATAAGAACGGCCAATATTACCTGACTTTACGCTCCTAGCAAAATCACTTCCGGAATCTGGTTAATTCAGTAGTTAATTTCGCAATTTACTGTAATTTCTTCGGGGTGCACGTCAACAAAGACGGAAGAGATCTCACGTTTTTCCTCTGGTTTATGCAGACGAACTTTTCCAACTCACGGCACCGCTTTGAAGGTATGATTTGGTCAATAAACATGAGACAAATCTCTTTTCCTGTAGAAACTTTACAGAAAGATTATGTATGGAAAATTCTCAGTCTTACTACAGACTCAGGGTTCGTTGAACAGCATTGACGGAGTATTTCATTATACTGTGGTCGATAGACAATTTCTGTCCATGCACCACTACCAAAGTGAAATGAGTATACTCTCCACTATACATTCACCAAAGTTGTTCCGCCAATAGCTCACTGACTTTCCATAAGCTACATATTTGATTCGGCTGATTCTAAACGAAAATTTTCCATGACACGCACGCCTTCTTAGCCATTTATCCAAACATCCAGTCATTCTCTGGTCTCGGCACATGACTGTGGTAAACCGTTTGGTTTTCTGAGCATATGTTATTGCGGACACTATCGGCGAGTGTTAGATCTGTGCTCAAATCCTTCGTCAACTACCCTGACAACAAGACAGCGCGCCGCTAGTGACAAGTTGTGGTGGCGCCACTGTGAATTTCCTGTCGCAGAGTTGAAGGGTAACGACTAGATAGTCCGAAATCGTATCTCCTATGAGTCGGAGACAAGTACATTCACTGATGATACGGCAACCGTACCAACGGGCTGATTTGGATGAAAAATGGGAAATCAAGGTTGAACCTCGCAAGATAAAAGTCTGCAATCAGAAAAAATCGACACCTTGTCTGAAACAGGAAAAATGAAAAACAATTTGAGACGTTAGAGAATGTACTAGTGTTAGCCACCCACCCTCTTTCCTCTCTGAGTCTCGTGCCCTTGTGTTATAAGTGGAGCCGGGTGAAAATAACTGTAAGCTGAATTCGAGTTATTGACGTGTATAGAAAGCAAGACTGTGCAAACTGGGAATTCTGTCCATATGAGGAAAGTCCGCCCTCGGCACAGATGAGTAAGTCTGTCTCAAAAACCTGAATGCGGGTGCTTGTAAATGCCTGGGCGAAACTTTGTGTTTATTGAATGACGTGTCCAGACTTAGTGAGGAAGTAGCGGTGACGAAATTAAAGTGCACGATCAGTGCATGTCCATTATGGTGAAAAAATATGACGTGTAATGTTCCAGTGGTCACAAGTCTATTCCTCACAGAAAAACATGCTAGATGTCGAATTTGGGATGGCCCACATGAGTTTCACAAACCTTCAGGGGCACTTACTTCGCCAGACTTGGGGGGAGGGGCTGGAGTCTGAGAAATTGGGCCTGATGGGTACATGGCACTGCGCCAGACTTGTTTAGTGAAATGGACTATGGCATTTGGTTTAACGCTGAAGGCCGGGCGATAAATTAGCCTAATTGAATTTGCGTTGCACACGTCTTTGATGCTTCGGAGTGTGACCATCAAGCTAACTTGGGAATCGATTGCCTCGGTTACATATGATCACAGGACCACCTGTGCTAAAAAGTCTGTTTTCCGTGCTCTAATTTCTGTCACGACTACCAATTACCGGCACAGTTCATCAGTGCTTTAAAGTTCTTCGCCCTTCGTTGTGCTTCGTGAGTAGTCATCTTATCACCAGGTGAAAGCAGTAGGAGGTGGAAAATGTAAATCGAAAAGCTATAAGCATTCGAAGTAAGGAGCATGGTACTTGGGTCAAGGCGGAGCGGGGATGGAGAATGAACCGATGAACAAGTCAGCCCATTGTGCCCATGCGTACTGCTGAATGGGCCACTCAAATGAGCACAGATTGGTTGCGAGCAATAAGGAGCGTGAAGAGCAGTCTGAAACTACGTACAGTTGTATAAGTGAGAAACCATAGTCGTAAACTGCCTCTCCACTTCATTTGGGTTTTCCAACCATGGACAGTTCACAAGTTTAGAATTGTGTGTATTGCTACATTATAGAGATACCGAATGTCAAAGCTTATTGTATTTACTGATTTAACGGACCCAAGCGTAGGATAATATGAAACAATGAGCACAGATTGGTTGCGAGCAATAAGGAGCGTGAAGAGCAGTCTGAAACTACGTACAGTTGTATAAGTGAGAAACCATAGTCGTAAACTGCCTCTCCACTTCATTTGGGTTTTCCAACCATGGACAGTTCACAAGTTTAGAATTGTGTGTATTGCTACATTATAGAGATACCGAATGTCAAAGCTTATTGTATTTACTGATTTAACGGACCCAAGCGTAGGATTAATATGAAACACAACAGTTTTTTTTGAGGAATGAATTTCACCCTTAAGCCCTCGTAGAAGACTAAAGCAAGTGACTGACCTTTCGAAAGTTCTTTTTATTATGTTTCTACATCTTGTATCACTCGAGGCTGAAACAAAACGAGTACATTCCACTCGAACCCTGCTTACGGATAGTGAAAATCAGGACCACAACTCCTGAATTTGTGGCATCTGACGCATCAGAACATGGAACTTAGTTGCAGAGAATATTAGCTCATTGGCGGACTCCGTGTTTGTGAGAGAAACTCAAGCAAAATAACCGTTGCACAAGAATACTGTTTTCATTTTGGAGATATTGATTCAGTGTGTATTTTCATCACTATAGAACCAGAGGACTTATAAACTTTAGGATGATTATGGTATGAGAGCAGAGTTTAGCAGAGAGGTTTAAAGCTAGCCCGATATTTGCACTGCCAAACTCTAAAAATGAGGAAGCCAGTCAGAGGGGTGATTCTTAGTCTAATTAGTTGTTGAGTATTTCTGACAGTTATCCGAAAACGGGTGAGTGGTAAGCAGGCTAGCGTGATGAACCTCGATTCTCAAGGAGGATCTGATAACTACAAGTCATGAGGCAACACACTGCTCATAATGCTGCGGAAAACTGTTCTTCAGTTGAGTCTCATATCTCCTGTGTGCCAATGAAGGTAGTTGACGATCTATCATCATCATCATCATCACCATCATGATCATCATCATCATCATCATCATCATCATCATCATCATCAACAACAACAACAACAACAATAACATCATCGACAGCATGACATCAGTGTTCAACACCGATGCTTTACTGCCGTAAAACCATGACTTATTTGAAAGCCTTACTGTAAAGATCATAAAGGCGGACGGGGGAGGGAATTAGTGCTAGCTTAACACAATCATTCTGAGGTGCCTACACCTACAGACATTCACTCTGGCAATCTGGATAGAAACTGACAACAGAAACGTCACTGACATCGGTTGGCAGCCATATCTTGTAGTGTCCCCAACCAGGCACAGTGAGGATCACGCGGTCCCCACCCTGGAAAGCGAGTAACACCAACAGCATCCAAGCGTTTCGTGATCTTCGTACTCCTCTGCCAAGTCAAGGGTTGGCCACCTCTCTGTTTACGCCACTCTAAATTGGGCATGGAAAACAACACTCGCTTTGGCAAACGATGGTTCGGCATACGCAACACATGTCCCAACCAACGTAGCTTCTGGTGCTGGACACATTCTTCAATGGAAGTACCCGTTACAAAACCGAAAACGCGCTTTCTAACAGTCTCATTACGGATTCGCCGACACCAACCCACACGAGCTATGGTTCTGAGACAACGATTGTCGAACACCTGAAGACGTCTCAGTTTCGCCACTCGAATATGCCAAGTCTCACAGCCATACTACAAAACAGCTCGATAAAATTCATGAGCTTGATGTTTTATCGGTTGTCTAAGAAAAGGTTCGGTCAGATACCGAAAACCTTAGCCATACAAGAGCTTTTGTCTTTATTTTGACTTGTCAGTTAGGTTTAGAGGTCTCGGATGTACGATTCCTTGATTAAAATATTCGCACTATAGTTGAGGAATGACGCTTCCACCAGCTGGTATTGTGCAGCTGGTAAATTTGAGTCAGCCAGTTTTTGAATGAGTCAGCTATATACTTAAACATCGGCATACTGCCAAAAATAACGGAATTAGGCGACAAATTTTTCTTACCTTGAAACTCCATCCGGTTCCAGAAATATAGAAAAATAGACGGAGGTACCGAATTGAGGCTGGAGTACTATGGGTACTTCACTCTATTTAAATCTAAAACGTTTTCCATCTGACCTGATACAAATGCACTTTATGAATCGCTTGACTCTTCATTTCGATTCCTATTTACCACGGAGCAGCAGGCGATGGTATACGCATGTTCCTCAGAACTTCACCTCTGGAATAGATACAATGACCGATGCGTGCATTAAGGAGCGGATTGTCATGGATACATGAGGTCAATACGTTTGGTGTACAGTTATAGTTTTCGAGAATATGGAGATTCTGAGTTTTCCGCTTTACTTCCTAATGTTACTTTACTGAGTGATAGAATCCAGTCAAAACGTCTCATCAAGCAATCAGCGTACGCCACCAATAGCCTGTCGCATGAACGAAAGCTTATTGCCCTGCTGACATCTTGGATGTCCATTAACCGGGTTACGTCATTGTGTCAGTAAGTCACTTGCACACAAACGAGACTAATCGATGACATTTTACCTCCATAGACAACACTAATTTACACCAGGCTCTGTCCAGCGGACCCTGGACCTCAGCCAATAAACAGTGTCCTTCAGGCAAGACATCAGCTGATCAACAGGTGAGAATGAAGGTCTCGAATGAGGACATGGTCTAGCCGCTACGGCCTGGGTGTTCGATCATGAGACAGCAGCTATACCTTAATTGAATTTAGACAGCACTAGACATGGATGAGTGCGAATGCAGCATGAATTACTAGTACGTTAGTGTTCCCTAACTGTTCCCACTTAGAGCGGCTTATGCTGAAAGAAAACCATGCCAACCGATATGGCTGATGTAGTGCAGAACCGAAACTACCTGCGAGTCGAAGAACCAGAAAATGGAAATCCTATTGTTTTTCAGTCATCGTTGAGGTGTCAAATGAGCCAACAATTGACAGACGTAACCCCAGCCCATTTGGCTGGTTTCGCATCCCTGAGATTAGTGAATAAACAATATGATAGCCAGGTCAATAGAGCCAGGAGTAAACACTTACATCACGAAATACGTGAGGTAACTCTATGTGGTCCCTATAATCGAAATTCTGTTAAAATACAACAGCGACTTTGTCAGACGTTTGAAGTGGAAAGAGTGGAATAATATTACGATACTACCTGGCGAAGACGACAGATAGTCAGTATCTGGATGAGGACTTGGGTGAGAGACTGGAGCTGAGCTCCCATCACGGAACACGGTTTGAGGTGATACCATGAATGACTGAGTCTAAAGAGATTTAACTATAGTGCTCGTGAGTAGTCTCCTTCATGAAAACATACTGCGACTTCTTGAATGTTGTGTCAACTGAGACGTGAGACGGCCTTTTTGCAGCACTCTCAGTTGAAGAATATCATAAACGATAGATTCAGTTGAGCCACCAGTGGAAACCAGATTGATTTGCAAATGAGTGTATTTGTCGAAATAAATCCGATTTGGGTTCATGTTGGACATAAGGCTGACGGAAACATGGGGACTGCACCCATCTGAAGAGCCCCAACAAGGGTACAACCGGTCGTGGGCTATCGAAGAATTTTCAGTAAACTTGTGAGTAGTTTGCTTCAGGAAAATATACTACTTTTCATTTCACGTCTGTG